CATGAAAAGCACCGCAGCTCGTGCTTGGGAGTGCCTCCGGTGCCTTGTACAGGCCCTGGTGGGCCCTGGCGGAACGGGTCGTCAGGTTGGAAAAGGCGTATGGTGAAAGCATGTTTTGGTCTTGGTCATGGCCCCGGCTGACTCGGTGATTTGCTTATTCAAATGGACATGGTGTTTGGTCAAAAATAAAGGTTGCCAACAAGCGCTAGGTACACTATGCGGCAGTCAGGTCCTGAAAGTCAGAGGCATGCGAGACAGCGGACATACCGTGACATACCGGCATCTTTCGAATTCGACTTCGGGTCACTCTAGAAGGCAGGTCGCGGTCATGGTGGTGAGCCTCGTGACCATGTTGACTTTCTTCAAGACCTCTTCCGTGACGGCCTCTGGCAGTGCATGTGTATCGAGCACCACATGGACCTTCATAATTGACTGGACCACTGTTGCGCGGCCGGAATGCAAAGGCTTGTCCAAGTGTTCTTACGATGGCATTCGCTAGGAACCGATGGCTACCTGCGAACACATCCTTTATTGCGTTATGCGAAAATCACACATCGTTGTGAGAAATCCACGCATATAGCCACACCATCCCATGGGCGGATCGAGGCATAAGAAGCTCCAACTGGTCGACTCTTGACTCTCAGTCGGCCGGCGACCTCTTCCTTGTCTCCGCTAACGAAGAAGTGCTCCACATCATCAATGACCTCAGCGTGCCCGGCCGGGTAGGAATCAGGAACTGCCTGAAAATCGGCAAAGAAAGCTTTGCATGTCACAGGAATTCATGCAAGGCTGCACACAGAGCCCGCGAGGAGGCGACTGTACAAGTCTGTACTTAGGATCCCTGAGGGGTCGAGAAGGTTCTACGGGCTTCGACCCTGCGAAGTACAGAGCCCGGCGTTGCCTCAGAAGGTGCTTTGCACCAACTACAGCATTGGTCAGTATACTGGTGAGATCTGGTGAGTATTGCTTCGCAAAGGAAGTAATTCCCTGATGTTTTACTTTTTTGAAGCGGACGGATGCAGCAGCTTCACAGCGGCATGGATTCCTCGAGCTCGGACTTGACCGAGCTGATATGTACGCTTATCGCCTTCGCCAAAAATGCATAGAGGACATTCCAGGACAATGAGGACGGCGATGGGCCGATTAGCGGCTGATTAGCGCTGCAGCGGCTTCAAAGATAGAGCTGCTAGAGGAGAGGTCCTTGGCGGAGACCTCGTAGAGTTCTACCGCAGCCATGCTTGAAATCAAGGTCCAAGCAGTGGACCTTCATGTAGTTGTTCTTGAATTTGAAAGCAAAGGAGAAAGGGCTCACCGTGGCCGTCCTGCAGATTGCGGCCGACCGGAAATTGCTCGTGGATGCTTTCGCCGAGCAATGGGACACAGTCCTGCATCTTGGCGAAGCCGTGCGTCAGCCACAAGCGCAAGTAGCGCTTCAGCATGCAGCCGAAGCCGGGTATCAACATGCAGCGGAGACCGGGTATCGACATGGACCCGAAAGCGGGTATCGACATGCAGCCGAAGCCAGGAATCAACAATGCTGAAGGCAGGTATCAGCATGCAGCCGAAACCGGGAGTCAACATGCAGCCGAGTGTATCCACGTACAGCCGAGGACGAGTATCAACATGTAACCGAAGCTGAGTATCAACATGCAGCCGAAAGCGGGTATAAGACGTACGAGTAGCTGGGTATCAACATGCAGCCGTAGCCGGGTATCAAGCTGATGTCCCATGACACCGATGCCGAGTAACAACATGCAGCCGAAACCGGGTATCATACTGGGCATCCAACATGCAACCGAAACTGCACATCGACATGCAGCCGAAACCAAGACGGCTTCCGGCTTCTGCTTCCGGAGCAGGGATCGCACACCACCGGCGATGTCGAGTGGCAGCTCCTTCGAGAGAGAAAGCTGGCGATGTGGGACTCCGGCTTGCTGATGAAGCTGTCGTCTATGTGCTGGGACTACGGCCTGCCGAGAGCAGCAGGTACCTGGACCTCCACTTCTACGCATGTGAGCCCAGCAACCTCAAGCGCTTCAAGGAATCCGAAGGAAGCAAGCTCTTCGAAAATGTGGCCGCCCTGAGCAAGCCCGTCTTCGGCTGCGTGTTGATACCCGATTTCAGCTGCATGTTTGATGCCCGACGTTCGGTTGCATGGTGATACCCAGCTTTCGGCTGCATGTTGATACCTGGCTTGGCTCCACGAGGGTTCGGCAACACTTCCATGCCGCTAGACAGGAGGGCTGTGGGAATAGACGGCTTCTTGCATGGTTCGGGCAAGGATCCATGTGCACAGAGCTGTCGAACCTAGAATATCAAGGCACTGAGAGCAAAGCCGCGTCTCCTGGACTGGTATCCGAATCTTCGGTCGCCTCCTGCAAAGGAGGGATCTTGTTCACAACTCTGCACATTCTGACTCTAGGCTTACAGCAAGGGCAAGATATGAGGATTGGTGTTTGTTGAATCCGGCTGCTTGAAATGACGACAATGACACCAAAACGACAGTAGTCTTGCAATATCTATCACCATCTGTTCTCCAGTTCTCAGCGCGAAGCTACACATCTGCACACAACTCCCAGCAAGCCTCCGGCTCTGCTGCCTGGCATACCCTGGATCGGGGCAGCCTGCCACAACTTCGTAGGGACAGGCGTCTGGGACAGACGTCTTCGTGCTACGATGTGACAGCCATGACGCCTCCTGCACATCATATGTGGACTGAACTGTACACAAAGGCTTACAAGTGGGCCGAGGGGCCCACATACCAGAATTACACCAACAAAAGCCAAAACCCTGTGCCGAAAACATAAATTCTAGAATCTACAATGCACCATTGAAGCTGATCAGGTTCAACTTGTTCGAACTCATCATTAAATAGACTGAACTGTATACAACTGACTCGTGAACCGTGAATAAAGCCGCTGATTACCGTTGATCTCTGGCCTTCGGTTTTGACAAGCGGCGTTGGCGCCGACGAGTGCGAACAGGGCTCCGGGGCTGCGAAACGGCCTCCCGGATTGCCCTCATATTGGACCCACAGTGAGGGGGCTGTAGGGGGTTTCGAGCACAAGCTTTTACCAGGTTTTTTTTTGATGTCACTTGCGCATTCGCACAGGCCGCATACTTGAATACATACCAGTTTACACATTAGACTGGTGTTGAATGTGAAGCTCTGCAGCCAGAACTCTCCCTGCCTCACTCCGGCGCTCTGATCGCTCTGGGGCGCGTGGCTGTGAGCGGGCACCCTGGTGCACTGTGACTTGGCATGGTACAACCACATATATGCCTCCTGTGTTCACGACGGCTTTAAGCGGCTGCTCTCATGTCTGCGGTTGCCTTTCAAATAAAATGGTTCTGCTGGAAGCCCGTTCTGTCCAACTCCAACAAAAGTCGGATGCACGGAACGAATCTGCAGCTGCTGTATGATTAGTCCCCGAGTTGCTGGGTGCCTTTGGGCAGCAGCTGGTGCAAGGGCAGCGCGGATGGGCTGCATGGGGGCTGCGTGGAGCTCCGCTTCTAATGGACTCTGAAGAACTCTCATGTGCTCTCTGACTCGCATCGGAAGGGCACAAGGAACACTTAAGCCTTGGTGCTTCAGGAGGTTCGCGATGGTTTCCGGATTTCGGCAGTGCTTGATGCTGAGATGAGTTCACACTGCGACACAGCTTGGCCACTGGATTCGTCTGCGCGCTGTCGACCCACTACCTCTTTGAGCCCAAGTGGGCAGCTTCTATCAAACTCCGTGCAAGGCAGCCCCACAAATTTCATGCCTCAAACTGCGCAACACATGTGCACTTAATGCTCAGACTCTCTACACAAAACACCCCACATCATCAAATATCAAGACACAACAAGCCCGCTGCGAAGCTATCGAAGCTTCAGCACCCCCAGAATCGGCACTGTCTGCAGCCTGCAGCCCCGAATTCCCCTAAGGCTTGCCCAAGCCATGGCCCCGGCCGCTCTTCAGACGGGCTGGTGTTGCAGAGGTCCCTCTCAGTGGAGCGGGCCTTTCTGATCTTGCTGGCTTGAAAGGCAAGAAGCATCGACCACATTCACAGGAAAATGAGCGGGCTGCAGGGTCCGATACATGATTCTGGCAACTACGAGAAAATGCAGTGTGTAGAAGTACTCACCAAGACCTTCTTCAGATGAGAGCAACAAAGTGGCAATGAACACAGCCGACTGGAAAGCGGCACCCGCAAAAAGAAACATTGCTTCTGAAAAGTGTATTTCTCGAAATAGCCATCATGGAGGAAGCTGACCACTCAAACGAAGGTGAACGGCCAGAGTGAAGACGATGGAAGTGCCCTTGAGCTAAACGGCTAAACCTCCACAAACTTTGAAAGTAAGTACACACAGCAGGCACGGCAGGGCAACCCTACTGGCAACAGCAGAACGATGTTTCTTGAGATAACTCAGAGAGTATCCATGCATGTCCATGCCATGGTCTATTCAGTCTCTTTTGTTTCCTAGAGAAATAATTCTTGCCGCAAGTGGGCTACGCATTTGACATGTCCAACTTTCGCATTTTGGCACAGGGAGTGCGAAACCCTAAGACTTTTTCTTCTGGGACTCGAAACTTCGGAACACACACACACAGACATACTTAAGTACAGGGGGTGGTCCAGACGGCAGAGGCAACTCCAAGACCAGAGGTCTCGTGAAAGCCTCGTCATCTTGCAGACCTGCCACGCGACTTCTAAAGTGTGGATAGAGAACTCGAAGTTGGTTCATGCTACTCGGTCACTCTCCGTGCTGACCATGTGAGGCGCGAAGCAGTCTTTCGTCTCCGGCGGCTCGTGTGACCGAAAGAATCACCGAAGGGACCGAAGGTCTGTGACTGTGAAGTTTCAAGCCGGGCTCACTCCCTCAAACTGCAATTGGGAGTAGCTCGACAGCCTAAAACTTTTCAGACCTGTTGAGGCATCTTTCGAAGGCCTTTGGAAACTGCAAGGCACTAACTGGGTAGGTGTAACACATTGTAACACTGTAGTACAGTAAGCTTACACTCTGCACACAGGACACTTTCCTTCACGGCCACCTGGAGTTCGAAGATACTCCTTCCAGCACGCCTTGCACATGTAGTGGTGTCCTTTGCAGCCACGTGCTCGGACAGGCTCCACGACTTCATAACCCTCATTGTGGCAGGCAACACAGAGGCGATCTTCATGCCCAGGGATCTTACCCCCAACGCTAAGGCAATCGGCAATCAAATCATCCAGTTGCTTGATGTACTGGTTGTCGGGAATAGTTCTCAACAAGTTCACCATCTCTTCAACCTTTTGAGTGTCGGATTTGGCTTGGCTGCGACGGTAGCAGCACTCGTATCCAGCGAAAAGAAGGAGCCCAAGCAAGGCAACACCCCCACCGACGCAAGCGCCGAATGCCACGTGTCCCAGGACAGTCCACGCGCCGCACTTGCAGCCGGCATCCGCAATCAACGCCAGGACACCGGCCATGAATGCTGCGCTGCCGACCACGATCGATCCAGCCTTGAAAGGTTGCATCTTAAGCCAAGACTCCAGCGCAGCAACTTGGGTCCCAAACCAGTTGGTAGGGGTGCCCAAGATTTTGTAAATGTTCTGCTCAGACACAGACAAGAGCAAGGTCATCTTGCTGTAGACCTCATTCAGTTCATACAATCTAGCAGATCCACCCTCGATGGGAAAGATATTCAGATCCATGTACTCCTCTTTCACGCCGATGTGCTTCAACTCCAGCGCCTTCTTCATGTTTCTGCTACTGGAAACGACGCCCTTCAAGTAGTCCAACTTTTGCTGCAGTGCGTCGTCCGACGTCGTCTTGAGACTCTGCTCCAACGACATGACTTCTCTCTGAAGGGCTGATGTCGCGGCGTCTGTCTTTTCAAGCTGCAAGGTGAACTCTTTCAGGGCATTGGTTTCGTAGTTGGAGCCCCACATGCCGAGCGCAAATGCGTACTACTGACTCCTGACCAGACTGATGACAACAGGCAGGATGCGCCGCGACACTTGAGAGGATGCGATCACAAGAGCGGCTCGCTTGTGTGAAAAAACTTCTACCGTCACAACTGAGAAACTAGCAACCCGCACCTCTGCAAATCAGGCCGGTGTGACGGTGCGGCTCTCGGCGGTCTCGGTGCCGTCGGGCCATCGTTGAAGGACAGACCGGAGAAGACGGAAAGACGAAAAGGCACTTCTCAGAAAGATGGAAGGAGTGGAAGCACACCTAAAGTTCTCGTAGTGGAAAAGCAAACCTTGGGAACCCCCAATTCCAAAAATTTGCAGCCTCCTTCGGGCGTCGGTCTGTGATCTGGGCCTTGGAGAGTTGCGAAGATCGGGCACTGCAAGCTCACGGTTTATATCTATGTCAAAGGCTACGGTTGCTTACTTAGGAGTTCGGGCACTGGGGGTAGACCACTTTCTGAGTGCACTGTAGACGATCTGCGCAGAAGTGAGTGTGTCTGTTCGATTCGTTCTCTACCAACCCAGCGGAACACAGCCAACATCAAGCAATGTCAGCCGTTGTGCTTCGAAGACGCTTTCGGATGCTTTAGGATGCTTTGGGGCGTGGTCCTCTACATCTCATTCTTGAAATGGCTGGCCGACTCTTCTAACTTGGTACTGATGAAACAACCACGCTGTGCCACCGGTGTTTTTTTTTGGGGGGGGGGGGTGGGGGGCCGGGGGGTGGGGGTGGGGGGCCGGGGGGGGGGGGGGGGGGGGGCTGGGGGGGGGGGGGGGGGGGGCTGGGGGGGGGGGGGGGCGGGGGGGCGGGGGGGGGGGGGGGCGGTGGTGGGAGGGGTCGGTGTGGGGGGGTGGCTGGGGGTGGGTGGGGGGGGGGGGCGGAGAGGGGGGCGGGGGGGCGGCGGGGGGGGGCGGGGGGAGGGACCAGACGAACGCCCACGACATCCATTGCTGCAACAGGAGCTGGATCAAAAAAGCAGGAGCGACTGTCCGTGGCTACTGTTAAAAGCTCAAACTCTCCACAGTATGACAATGCTAACATAGTTTCACTCCCAGTTCCCTCCTGTCGTGGGGCTCCAGCAAGTTCTGTCACGATCTCCTGTCTCAGGTACTACGCAAGCACTACATGTCACCAATTCGGTATCCATATCATATCCGTGTACACAAAGACTATATGTCACATCCGACAGCCCGATGCGACTTCTCGGCCAATTCCCGCGCAGGCACCCCATAAATGTCTTTCGTTTGCTTGCCCACTTGGTTTGTGTGCCACCAGTCCGAATACTCCACAAGGAACAGGAAGGAGGCAAACTGTGGCAACAGGTGCTGCTAGCAAGAGATAACAACTATGGCTACCATGAGTCTGGCCGCGTCCGGCGCCAGGCGACAGACGGCGACGACTGGAAACACCACTGGCTTTTTCACACGCATCCAAGTTTTGCTGCAACCGCTTTCTCGAAAACAGCTAGAGTCTGCTTCAGCCGACCGTTGTTATGTTGTTCATATTCATATAGCAGTTCGCCCACCGGTCAAGGTTTTCGCTTTACAATTGGGATCTCTGCTGCTAAAGGTGGATAAATGGGCAATTTCTAGTTGATTGTACGACGAAGCTTCCCAAAGCCAAAGGGCCCGTCGCCTCCAGGGACCGCTTAGCTCGTCGGGCCATGGCGACTGGCACTTCGGATCCGGGCAGATGGGGGGAATGCTCTAGACACCACGGAGTTCTGCAATTGGGCATGAGAGCTCCAGCAGTATGCGTGGCACAACAAGTTTTCATCAGCAATGGTTCTTGTAGGTCTCTGCCATCCGGTCGCACAGCTATCCTGGGTTCCATCTTTAAGGTACCAAATAGTCTATGTTCTAAGAGCGTCTGCTGCTTTTGAAATACGTTGGAGCCATCCTGTTGACCCTTTCCATGCTCCTTGCTCACGGCATTAAGCCTGCAAGCAGTGCAGTGACCGGCCTGAGACATGGGCTCAAGCAGCTCAAAAGAAAAAAGAAATGGGGTTGCAAGTTGATTGGGGAGGGAAGAATCGTTGAGGGGACCTCTGTTCTTGTGACAGCGATTGCTTGGTGGAAAGCTGTGTGCGACATTGGCGCGTGGCTTCTCCTGGCTCATGGCTCCAGCCTGCAGGGGCTTCTTGAACAGTTTTACATTGTTTTACCCCATGAGACTTTTAAGGCCGTGATGTGAATGCGCTGGGTGTTCCAGCCACTTTAGGGTGGCTAGCTTTTCTACAGCACAAGAACGAGTCGTAGACAGTTCGATCTCGGCTACAATCACAACGTAACGTCCCTCGGTGAAGGCCGCTGTCACGAGCCCCCCGAAGTCCTTGCATGAAATGCTTCGAAACATGACAGGCTGACACTGTGTTGCTCACCAGATGCCGGAGTAGCTAAGTCAGGCCATGTGCGAATCGCCACAACAGACAGCTGGCGGGACTGGCGGTACTGCCGGGATTCCTTGTTTGTGTGCGTTGGTGTATGTCAAGTGCTACACACCTACACATCCTAAGTACATCGTCCGGCATTGCACAGATTGGAGGTTCACACCAAACAATACAGCACCGCCTTCCTTGCTGACGTAGCTCTGTGTGGAAAGCAGGCGTCCCAAGTGCAAGGAGCTGCAGGGTTCATCAAACTCGTGGTGCTGAGCTTCCCAGAGACTCTTTTTTGCGGCTTGAGCCATTCGGGGAGTCTACGAGTCCGCTGAAGGCAGAATGAGTATAGCAGAACAGGACATGTGATGGAATTGCAGACACGGCCCTTCTAACCCTCAAGGGCCTCGAGGGTCCAGCAAACGTTTCTAATCGGTAGACTACCTAGCCGGCCAGGACCGTGTGAGCGTCAGCAAGCGATCTTCCGTTTTGTGCAGTGTGCCCACGAAGCTGCACGCTTAGCGGTGACTGCGCGATTTTCTCTTTGCGCACCTTTGCAGTGCGGGTTTCTGGTAGGAAAGCGCCCTGGCTGCCCCCTTTCTCAAAGCTCGATCTTTGGAACCTTCAGGGCAGAAAATGAAGCGTTGGCCCTGAGGCTGGATATCATGAAGTGTCTCAGGACATGTACCCTCGCTTCAAGTACTGACGCCTAAGAACCTCCTAGCCTCAACTTGAGACTTAAACGTGCCATCCTGGCTCGGCACAGCTTGCCGCCATTCGCTTATGCAATTTGGCAGAGCTGCTTTTTGCGGCAAATGGAAGAACCCAAGACCCCGAAAGGAAGGGTAAAAAAGGCAACCAACCACGCACATACGCACAGAAAACCCAGACTCTCAGCCCTTCTCACTCAACGGAAGTCCCGCTTTGCCTTCAGCTTTCCGGGCAGCGGCCCACCGTTGAGGACACCGTCGACAAAGCCGTCCAACTCCTTTTTATGGCTGTGCTGTCGCCAGGGTCGATGATTTGAGGTATCAGCTGATGCATCGAAAGCGGCAGCTTGCCCTGGTAACAACGAGTTCTGATGACTGTGATTGACTGCGGCCCGACGAAGGGATTCACAGACATCTCGTGCTCCTCAAAACGTAGGGCGCCGGTGTGGACCTGCCCAGGGCAGCAGAGAATGGGAGTTCAAGACCCCCAGGCAGATGAGCAATTCTGCAATGCTTTGAGGATGAAGGGACGGCTTTTGAAATTCTTGTGCAAAAGCGTCATACCGGGTGCTAGCATCAGCAGGGGGGGAGGTGGACAGGAGTTCCAGGGAGTGATGGAGAGTGTGGGGAGTGTGGGGCTAAACTTTGCTTTTGCATCTGGCGGTCTTCGGCTTTCCTGATGTGCTCGGGCGTGCCGCTGCTTCGCTCTTGGATGAAGAGTTTGCAAGGAAACCGGCGTTCTTTTGGCTTAGAGCCGCACAGGGTTATGGCTAAGCACTCATCCCGAATAGAAGTCCGGGGCTGCCTGGGAGTGAGGCATGGTTTCAGACTCGTCCCTGGTACAGGTCTGTTGCCGCTGCGTAGGCGACATGCGCCAAGTATTAAGAACGATTTCACGAATGCACTGTCTCGGGGGCTTGAGATTCGGGGAGCTCACGATATGATGATGACCTGGATCTGTGACACTTCCTTCACAACTATAAGTATGGGTCTTCAGACGTATGAAGCTGAGCGTTGTGCAGGCGATTTCTGGCCTTGAACCGTGATCGTTTTGACCGCAAGGCAACCTCAGGAATGAACCGTGGATGAATAGATCACGGAGGCTCCACACGCCCCGCGTCAGAGTTTTTGAGCTCGAGGCGAAAAAGTCACTGGCTTCAGCTTCGTGTAGATCGAAAGCCTCAAGCAATGAGTTGGTGGCACCTATCAGCCCCGTTAAACTTCACAGCACATCGCAACTCGTTGTGGGAGCTGTGATGGCAACTGCTTGCTCTGCCGACCAGATTTTTCTCCATTTCTCGGCACAGTTCCAGCAACAAACAACGATGTCTCCCAGTGCCAAGACACGTCCAGAATGGAGGGGTTCATCTCAACGTTGGCCCACATCATCTGTCACAGGGAAGCAACACGATTCGACAACAAGCTGCGCTGACAGGTGTCATCCTAATACTGTTGAACCGCATGGCCAACCTCCAACTTTGTAGGTATATTAGCTGTAGTTAGGTGGCTTTGTTGGGTGCCGGTGCTTGCCTCACCCTGATTTAGACAATTCCTTGTCGCGGCAGGATGCAATGTCCTTCACAGCCGCACATGCCATGCTCTCCGGTGTTCATGAAACTTGTTCGCTGCTGTGCGCATTGGCTGTGGCCAAAGTGGGCAGACAAGGTCATGGATGCGCTGTGCTCACTAGGCGCGTGTGCCAATTACTGCCACAACCTCAAGTGCATAAGGGGCATTCATCAAGTTAGCAAGCTCGAGGCACTGTGAGAAGGTCTTCTGACCCCCCTGCCCCCCCGCAAAAAAAAATAGAGTGCTTCTCCGGATGCATCCCTACTACCGTGCCAGAGTTCACCTCCCGTTCGCCCCCTGCCTTGATGGGATCTCGCCGGTACTTCTGCGCCAGCTGCCGTGTGGCCTCCTCCACAGCCGGGTCTGCACCGGCCTCAAGGGGAGGAGATGTTTCGGCCTGCTGGGTTTCATTCACGTCGTTTGTTGAGGGTGGGATGGAGGTCGGTATTTAATTGCAGGAGAGCCCTATAATGTCGGGTGCCAAACCGAAGTCGACGGGTTTTCCTACCAGGTGACTGTGCATCTTCGAGAAGTGTCACGGTTGCAGGCTGTTTCCCAGGCTGTTTCCATCGTTCCTTGAAGACTGATTGGAAGGCAACCGGCTGCTTCATGGGAGGTTTGGGAAGGCGGCGTGTCCATGAATGATACTGCGAGGGAAGCAGGAATGACCCATGGAGGTTGCATTTCTACTCTAAGCACCTTGTGGGGTTGTCCCAGTCATCACATCAGAGCAGCTTAGCCAAGGTCTACCTAACGTCAGCATGGTTCAGGGATCCAAAAGCATGTCCTAGTCTGGGGGTATGTATAGGGGGAGGAGGACCTTGGATTGAGATTTATCGGCAGGTAGGGGGCATGAGGAGGAGTCTGATACGCATAGAAGCATTAGTTTCGGCACGTGTGTCCTGATGCTCTGGATTTTTATTCTGTGGGTGCTGCTTGTAGCGGAGGTATAGAGATGGTCATGTGGCTTTTGTTCTACGAGGCCCTGAGGGGTGCGTGAACGGAACCAAGCACGCTCAGACAAACCTCCAAGGCCACGGCTACTGCCATCCCAAAGAAGCCTTGAAACAAATCCACAAACTAGCCCGTGAAAACCTAGCCATCAAGCCTGAGGGCAAGGAGGTGGTCGTGCACTCCCTGCGACTACACATTGGTGCTTCAAGGGCGTTAGCGGCGTTAAGTCGCGGGGGCCTTGAGCCACAAGAAGCAGAACTGGCTGTCTGTCGGCCCGCAGTCGCCCGCCTGATGTCGCGAGATGTTCAGGTTCTCGGATCTTGTACGGACGTAAACTCAGGGAGGCGACAGAAGAGACACGCAAACCCAAGACCTAAGCCTTCAAGCTACAACAAAAAGAGAAGGTTCTTTCACAAAGAGGCCCCGAACCCTGTGCAGAAATGTATACATGCGGAAATCTAGAGGAACAGAGGGCCAACCCAGCCCAACCCCCAAAAAAAGGAATGCAAGCACCTACTTAAAGCACCCTTTTCCCAAAGCACTTTCCCCGCAGGCTGCTGGAAGCAAAGCCAGAAAAGAAGCATCACCCTGGCACCTCAAGGCGCTCGCGCGACAGCTCTTTGAAAGTGGCTTGAGGTCCAGCCTCATCTCTTTGAGTCCGAGCTTCTTAGGGTTCTGGCTTCTCTGTGATCGTCAGGTGGCTTCGGGCTTTCCGGTACACCCCCAACCTTCGTCCCAAAACACCGAAGTTAAAAAAAAAAAAAAAAAAAAAAACGCTTCTCAGAGGAAATGAGCAGCGTGTGGACCATCTGCTGGCCCAAGCTCTGGAGATGGGACGGCTACGGCTTTCTGACTGAGGCCCTCCGACGCCAATTTGCCAATTCCCAAAACCCACACGCCAAACCGCCAGCTGTTGGCCACCTCGCTGAGCGCAGCACCTTCTTTCCAAGAGCAATGGCCTTCATAAACCAAAGGTTGAGGGACTCCTGGCAATCTGAGGACAGCGTGCCACTGAAGTCCGAGGCTCAAGGTCTGTCAACAGCCAATCACCTGCTACAGTGAGCGTTTCACTCTGTAACTCCGGCAACTGGAGAAAACTCCGACTATGTCTGGCACACCCGGCTGTATCTCCGACCCTTGCCTTCTGGCTCTACGTCCGCACCTAAAAAAGCACAAAAACAAACTACCTAACCAGCTGCTGCAGCGGTCAGCAACACAATCACACTGCGAGCTGCTAGCAGATGGCGCGCCTTCTTCAAGGTCATGCTAAACTTCTCAACCACCTTCGACGATTCATTCATCAGTTGCTGAAACTGCTGCAGGCACCCCCTTACATACCGCTTGAAGCGCATACGGGCCAGAGCCAAACCTGATACACTTGAGGGAGCGGAGGGCCAGCTGATGAATTCGGATGAGCCACGTGGTGTTTGTCGAGAAAGCAAGCAAGAGATGAAAGGATGAAAGCAAGAAGTGCTTTGTTTCATTCACGGACACTAAACTGTGCTACAGTGCTGACCAGAATGGAAGCTATCCTTCACTACTCTATGTTGCTTCTGCTTAGAAAGACTGGGAGCCAAACCTTCCCAATCTCATCGAGAGGGTCAATCCTCACAACTTGAGGTATCCTGACGTCGTACCTTGCTCGGCGACTGTTCAAGGCAATCTGCTCTCTCTGCAAGTTGGCAGCTTGGAGTGGAACTTTCTTTTTGTTAAGACAAAAGCAGTACCGAGATACTTGTGTTGCGGTCGCTCCAGGGGGGAAGAGACAACACGAACATCATTTGCAGGACTCACCGCGAGTGCACCAGATGACAAAAGCTTCCATGCTGACACATCTCCAACTCGGGACATGCACACTTTTCTTGTCCGGTCGCTCAGAGCCTCTGGCCGGGCCCTTGGATATGCTTAACTTGAGCATTTATGCGTTTCAAGGCCACAGCCTCAGGTGGCGCAAGCGCAGCGCGATGGTGCGAAGTAGAGAATCGAACTGCTTCCCTTCTTCCTTAGATCCTTTTGCATCCTTTTGCTCCTCTGCGCTGCCGCCGATGCTCTCATTTTGCATCATGTGGCTGCGCTTACATTGAGCTGTCGAGGTTTAAGAGGGGGTTTGAGGAGTTTAGGCCGCCGTCTTCGGGCAAAACAGGTTTGTCTTGCAGTTCTGGGTTCCTGGTTCAGAGACTTCGGGGGAGCCTCTTACCGCGACGGTTTCGACATTCGTGACTCCGAGACTTTGAGGGTCGCACTCTCGCTGCAGGGGTGTCTTGAAGACGCCGGTCCTGTCGCAGCGCGGCACCTTGGGCAGGGTTTGGGGTCTGGGGCTTGTTCTCTCATTTCTCTCCACGATCGCGCGTACAACCTTCAGATGTTAAAATTGTATGTAGGCCTCCATACCGCTAAGCGGTGCTTGTCTTGATTCTTGATGATGCCAGTCGATCAGCACGGTGACGCCACATTCAGGCCGGACTAGTGGGGCAGCCGCATGCACATGCCACGGAGATAATGGCAGAAGTCCTCAACCTGGAGCCCTCAGCCTCAAGCAGGAACACAACCCATCCCAGACTGACACCGGGCATCGCACTGTGGCGAGGGAGGCTCGCCCATTGAACTCTCGGCTCAATCCCTGGCCGCAGCGCTGGACAAGAATGAACTCACAGGAAGCCAAGTGTGCGCTTATTCTCGTTGAGACATGACTCGTCATCCAAGTGATTCGACAAGAAAAGACAGTGCGAAGTTTGCCGAGCCTTTCAACCCACCCGACCACCCCCCCCCCCCGCACTACACGCAACGGTGAATTCCATTGCAGCGCTCCAGCAAAATCTTGGACAGCATAGAGCTGACATCATTGATGCGCGTGTGCGTGTGTCTGTTTGAATGTAGGAGGTTCAAGAGGCGCTCATTCGAAATTAGGCCCAAGCACTGCCTGAAGCGCAGGCAAGCGTGAATCTGGCCAAACCAACCCAGAAGCCATCAAACACACGTAATGTCCGTAGCAGCATCTTTGGCGGTACCAGGCAAGATCCATGCTGCCCGCAGAACAAGTGTGATCAACAAAATATTTCGGGGGGTTGCAGCTGTCTTCTGGCTTGGATTCAAAGATATCCAAAAGCCAACAAAGTCTGCTTCTCAGTTAACTTCGAGATATCGTACATTCGCAAACCTGTTTTCCAGATATCGCGGCGTGTACCTCGCGGCCCATTGAACCCAGATTCAATCAGCCGACACTCTGGCACAACCAACGGGCACGAGCCTTCCACATTGGGGGAGAGCCCATCTTGTCCTGAGGCGGAAATTGAGGAACTGCGGCCTGAAAACCGACTGTAGCAACACCAAGGGTGCCCTCGGCCCCCGTTTGCCACCGAGCTGCAGTAAACAGCAGGATGTGTGGCCCCTTGACGTTGTCAAGCCACTTCCGCAGCTCGCGCTTGTCCTGGCACTGTGAGCGGGGATTCCAGTCCCATACACTTGCACACTTGCGTCTACGAACAGATCTTAAAGCGGACCGAAACTCCCAAACCTTTTTTCCGCCCTTTCATCGCAGCTCCTGCAAGACCTGTGTGTAGTCGGGCATCATGGCGCTGGCCCACCTCTTCAATTGGAGTACCGCCCTCGAGATGCAAAACTGTCGAACGATTCCCCATGGCACTGTTCATGCTTCCATATCCGCAAAGATTCACAAATCTTGAGGCTACACATCTTCCTTGTCCACGCATCAGCTGACAGAGATTCAATCAAAACAGAAATTAGCTGAGTCCTAGCTTGCAAAGCCACGAACAGCTCTCTGATTGGCAATTCATGATGCCGACCCCTCACACTGGCTCGAGATCGAAGCACAAGGATGAAGCCTACTTGTCATCAAGCGAGACGGGAGCCATCTTGAGCCAGTACATGACTCGACAACCAGTCTTCCGGTAGCCCCCTCTCTGAGCCAAAGCACTTGCCCAGATTCTTGGAGGAGGGAGTGCCCTCGCTAAAGATCTCGGGAGCGGAGTCCTGGCTTTGAAACCCATTGGAATTTTCGGGGCTGCAGCCCTCAATTTACTCAATCAGTGCTTCCAACACCAGAAGTTAAGGCCCTCCCGAAGTAATACAATGCTCTTGTCTAGGACATCACCGCAAGGCTGTAGCTGTAGGACTCAGGCATTGCTAGCGTTCTTACCAGCTTTGGGGCAATTAATAGTCGATGCCCATTGTTCTGGAGTCTTCGCCCACTTTGTGTTGGGTCCGTCCACTGCCAAGCCCTTGTAACCATTCGACGCGGGTTGCGTGTTTGGATGCCTTGGGCGTTAGCACTTGGGGGATTCACTTCTGGCCTTCGTTAAGAGAAGTGCCTTCCTTCCCATCTCTACACAGCCGACACCCACCCCTCTCTCCAGCCTTGTCCTCGCCGAACCAACGGAAGGCAGGAAACCTGGCGGAGAGGCGGGCGAGGGAAGACTGTAGATGCTCAATGAACTCTTTGCGTGCCGTGGCCCAGGCTCGTTTATGGAGGCTTTGCTGCACACATCGCGCTGTTGCCGGCAGTTGACGGCGCCGATGTTCAGGAAGTCCTGCAAGCTTGTGCTGCCGAAAGGCCCCTCAGCCCTCACCCTCCTCCTATGCAAATGGACATGCAGAACACAACAAACGACTGGAACAGCACATCATCGAGAAGCATCCCAGAACCCTCTAAGCCAGAAATAGCACAACGGGTCCCAACACAAATTGCAGTTGGCAATCGTGCTTGCTGCCATACACGACATGGCTCAGAGCAGAAAGGGTAGTATTGGATTTGGCGGCTTCGGACTTGGGACTTCCAGCTTGCAACCTTAAGGGTCTTGGCCAAGGCACCTTGAAAGTGTCGGCAAACTTGATGTACTCCTCTCGCACCTGCGCAAAGTGCAGGAGCGAAGGCACCCTGCAAATCGAAGCAAAGGCCAGAAACCCATCGTGCGGCCACTGCTCTGCTTCTCATTCCGAAGCACATGTCTCAACTGGATTCCCGATTTCCATTCTGATTCCCGAGTGCCTCTCGAGACTCATCGTTGTTCGGCTTGTAAAACCTGTGACTCTTTCACTTCAATGCAACAAGTATTCTTCGAGGATCCGCGCGAAGGAACCACAACATGCTGCACATCGCCTGGAGTCCCTACGACCCAAAACACTGAAGCCCTGAAGTTGTTCAAGTGTTCAAGGTTTTGGTGCCCACTTATGCAACAGCTGGATTCGGGTCTAGCAGGCATCGCAGTGGAGTATCTTTTTCTGAGCCTCACTGTGCCAACCACTTGCCAACCAGGCATGCAATATGTTGACAGACACGCCGCTGAACAATCCAGGGCTCGATGCGGTCGTTGATCTGAGACTTGTACCTGCCGCCAACTCGGTCGGCGTTCCAGTGCAATGGTACAAGTCGATGCACTGGAAAGAGTATCCGAGTCCAGACCAAGGGGGCCCCATAGTGTCCGGAGGACTTCGGCTTCAGGGGTGGATGAAATAGGTTTCTGCCAAGGCACAGGTCGGAAGTCATCTCGGTGACATTGGTGTTGCCGTAGATATCCTCCTGGTCCCAGTCAAGACAAAAGTTTTGAGTTGTTGAAATACATTCCCAAAACCATCGATGAGCCACTCCTTCGGTCCAGGCTCACCTTCTTCCATGAACCTGGGGAGCACTTCGGCTACCAGTAAGAGAAGATCTCAAGTGGGTTGAGGGAAGCTACACTTGGAGCTGTTTAGGGCTAAACCTGGAGCTTTTGGACCTAAACCTGAACTGAGTCCCCCGTAAGCAGGCTGAAGAACTGAAAGAACCTCGAAAGACCTTTCTTTGCTGAGAGTGGTGCATCATTTGGCCTCCTTGGCGGACGATCCTTACCTTTGCGGCTGCCACCATGGCTAGGAAGTTTCCTCATAGACGGTCCCTTTTACAGTAATTAGGTCTGCTTTCTTTAGGTGAGACGGACAAGTTTAGTGCGACGCCTGGACGCTCTGGAGCAACCGCTCTCAACTTGATGATATGCTGGAAGCTCAAGCGCGGGCTGATGCGTGATACGTGCCAGGCTTGTATTCGAAACAACACAAGCAAGGTTTTGAGGCTGAGATCCACACGTTGCCATCTGGTTCACGACCGAAGAACTGCCGAAACATGGCTTTCGCCTGTCAAGCTTCAGTACAATTCAGAAGTCTCGAGCGCCTCCGAACTCACGCTTTCCGAGCCTGTTCGTTGGATTGGTGCCCTTAGATGGCCGAGATGGTGGCATCTGACCCTCCATCATCTGACAAAGCTCTGGGGCTCGAGCCTTCCTTGAGGCCCTCTTCGCCGTGCTGGTCGTAGACCTGGAGGGCAGGCAGGGACTGTTAGGGGTAACAGTGTCTGGAATTAAGGGTTCCGCTTTTTCGTTGGGTCCTCAACAATCTGCGCAGCAGCCTGTGCCTTTTTGGCGGCTCTTGCCGCGACATCCTCTGCATGCGCCCTACTCGGGGCCTTCCGCTTCTCGGCATCGCTGAGGACCTTTTAGTTAGCTTCAGGAGTCTTTGAAGTGAATGCCGCTTACAGGCAGGACTCAAGATAGATGGCAGGGCGCAATCAGTAAGCTGACTTCAACGATTACGGAAGTCAAATCAATGGTGGCAAGGGTTTGGGCTTGTCGATGTCGGGAAGGTTTCGGCATGCTGGGTGTGTGGCCTCGGCTTTTCCGACCATACACCGATGATAGGGTTCGGGGTTGAGGTTTTGCAGGGCATCTGCTTCAAAGCTACTCGCCTTCGGCAAGGGCCAAAGCTCTTGGCTCGGAGCGGAGTCGATTTCGGGTTTGCGGTCAGCATCAAGCCTCGTAGGCTGTGGACACCTCGATGAACTTGGTTTGGCACTGCTCCTGTCGGCATCTTCTGCAGAATAACATGTGGGAATCCCATGTGTTGTTTCTCTTCTTGATATTCTTCTTCTCCTTCTTCTTCCCAGTCCTTGTCGTCAGAGCACTTGTCCGGATGGTACTCCAAAGACTTCGCGCGATATGCCTTCTTTATGGCTGCCTCCCAGCGAGAGCCCAACAACAAGGTCGGGATCCTAGGAAAGATACAACGGCCGACCAGCGCACATGATGGGCTGAAGGGTGCTGGAGAGGGGTGCTACTTGGAGGTTCATGGTACTTACTAACCCAATTATCACCATGTTAGGGCACGAACCCCCGAGTAGAATCCGAGTAGAAGCGTACTAAGCCGTTGAAGGATCTCAGCATGGAATGCCCAAAACTGTAGAAAACGCTTTGCTGGCAAAGCACTTGAAGGTACCACGATGCAAGTCCCGCGTGCGCTGTTCTGTGAAGGGTCCAGTATGCTCTGGTGCATTCCAGTGATTCCAGCGCTTGAACAGATCGACGGAGCGAGCCTGGTCTGCATTCCTGGGGACGCCCAGAATGGCATAGTAGTCTGCGCCCCTGAGTGCAGAGTTGGCATTCTCTGCGTTGACTGCGCCGCAACAAGATTCATATGCAACATCTCGATGATCCCGGGATCCATATCAGTCTGATGGCCTGACGCTGCAACCACAGGACTCTGGAAACAAGATTAAACACAAAACACGTACAGTAAATGGTCGTCAGAGCCACACAGAACAATCAGCCTTCGAAGGCCTTTTCGTTTCATGTCTTTGCAGCCTTTGCATGTCTCTCCGCGAAGACAGCTCGGGGCGCTGCTTGGCCGCGCCGATCAACGGCAGGGAGCCAACAACCTCTGCATCTTCGGCTGTTAATACTCTCTTCATGTTCAGTTCACTGAAAAGAGGCCGTTGCTTCGTTGTTGTTGTGGCCGCGAATGTCCCGCGGAACTTGCGTGAAGGTCCCGGATTTGGTCCCGAGATTTAAGGAGGCTTCGCGGCAAGGCTGTTCCTGAAAGTCGCCTCTTTGAAAAAAGTCCAAACTACTCTGGAGCCTTGCAATCTGTGAAGCACTGAAGTCTCTTCTCCCATTCTCAAGCGAAATCCCAAGACTCCAAAAGCCTTGGAGTGATCGCGCCTGAACGAGACAAAGCCAGGAGCTGAGCCCCCGCTGCCACTGCCTCCGCAAGTCTTTTAATCACAAGAACTCTCTGCGCTGTCAGGGGCCGGAAAGAAACATTTAGGAATCTAGGGGGTGCCTCGCCTCCTCCGGACGGGCCCTCCAGAAGGGTGCCGGGATGCCGAGGCCATGCATGGGCTCATTAAAGCTGCTCTCGGACTCTCTGCTTTTTGGGCTCTTTGGGACCTGATTGGTGGACGGTTCTGGAGAGTGCTGCTTTGGGTTTGGGTGCTCCGCTCGGGGCCTGAAGTGAGGGTTCCCTCAAGGTTTCCTCACGGGGTCACAGGGTCACCGCTTTGGGGGCTCAAGTATTAGGTGCGGCGGATCTTTCGGATCTCACGCCGTAAGAATATCGTAAGACAGGGGGTTGGGTGCACATATTGCAACAGCGGCTGCTGAGGGTGCTTCACTGTTTCATACTCAGGCTAGGGTACTTCCTGTTGTTCATTGTTCCCTGTTGCTGACATCCAAAACTTGTCGGCAGGTCGTTCATCTTTGCTCAGCTAGTCGACGATCGAGATCCGAGGCCTGGAGTTCTACAGGTTTGGCCTGCACCTTCACAACTTCAACCTCAAGCCAGTTGAACAATACTCTGCATTTTGCACGAAGTTCTCCGCAGATGCTGCTCCCCATTTTGATGCTGATGCCCGTCAATTGCGAGGCATCACTATGCATCACTGAGACCAGTTGCTTCCATCTCGGCCCGGGACATTCTCCAACAATAGTTGATTGACAACTGATATTCTGGACCATGCTTGCATACGTGGAAGTAGTACCTGAAAACGTACCAATGTCAAAATGACGACATCGATAGCAAAGGTCATATCTCCAGAACACGTTCTACGTAGTTCTTAAAGTAAGAATATCAGATAATAACGCTGCAGCTGAGATAGCCTGCGATTGAACTTCCAGTTGAGACTACTTTCCAGAGACAAATAGCTGAGTCCACCCACCTCATCACGGCTTTGCGTCTAGAAGTCTCGGTGAGACTGTGGCTTGTTTGCCACTCTATTCGACGTGCAACGTCATGGACGCCTGAAGCAGAAATTGTTTCGGTCTAATTACGTTCGTTTGGAGACGCTGTCTACGCCGCAAGTGCACATGATTCTTTGCGAATCTGCCCGCTTCACAGCACTAAACCTCAACCCCTGCCTGTCATGACAACTGCTCGAATGGCCATTGCGCCAAGTGCACCGCCATCCCCGCAGCCAATCTAAGCGTCCACTAGTGGCCTGAGGCAGGACTGCGGGGAACAGCCTTACAATTCGTCAAGCTGGGACAGGTTCTCCGTAGTCATTCGAGTCTTCATGGAAGAACGGAAGGAGCGCTGTGAATTCGAGCGCTTCTTCAGGTGGAGGTTTTAGAACATAGCAAATACAGGTGCATGTAAGCATTGTGCTAGGCATTTTTCGGGGTGGCTGGCAGCATGGTATCTTCAACCCCGATGTCATTGTTCAAACAGCCCGTACGTACTTTGAACCCAGGCTGCCTTTCAGCAGCACGAACCACTGTGCTGGTTGTAAACTGGCAGCGTGCCGAACTTATCAGGTCGTCTGATCTGCTCGCGCCTGACAAAATGATCGACTAAAGGAACCTGACAATGGCTCAAGGATGGCTCAGACCTCATGACGGGAGAGCCCCTCTTAAACTTCCAGCCAAGTCCCAGATGCAAAACCAAACCAATACAAACGCGAATGCACGCAACCGTTCCTCAAGAATCAGCCCGAAAAACACCGAGCCATCAACGATTCTTGCACGCAAGCCATGCCTACCTCTGAAATCCAGTAGGGCTTCTCTGTGCCCTGAGCCCCCCAACCGAGTCACCGAGCGCCGTGCTGTGGTTGCAGCACTGCTTTTGGCAAACGGTGTCCGTGTCCGGTTGTGCTACCATCTGAGCAAAGGTCTGGGCTTTTAGGCTTGCAGGTGGAAGGGGCGTTTCGCAAGCACTTCTCAAGCAGCACCACGATGTTTGCTGTGCCGCACCTGCCATCGCCGACGGTACCACCAGAAGTCTAAGCAGTTTGCCACGCCGCTGCCCTGCAGTGGTCACGAAGAAAAATGTCATGAGCAGAAACGATTGCGTGGGTCCTCAAGGTCCTCAAGTACCTCCACAATGTTTTAGGGGGCTATACTCCTCATTTCGGAGAGTTAAGCGGTTGGCTGGCCTTGTCGAAGGGATTGCGGAAAGTCCTCGAAGTGTGACCTGGGGCAGTCGGTCCGTGGCTTCGTCCCTTTTGTCTCGGCACTTCGGTCACGTTGGAGTCTACTCAGTGTCATTATCAAGCACATGAAGAAGCCGAGATTGTGCGTTGCAACAGGCACCAGAAAGCAGTAGATCATGCTGCCCAATCAGGGGCATGACATTAATGGGGTGAAAGGAAGGACTTGGAATTGGCATCTGTGCTTGGAAGGGACTTCGTAAAGTTGCGCAACATGTCTGAGGTTCAGGCCAGGAGAAATCTGCCGAATCGACCAAAAATGCTCGTACCTTTGAATTGGATCACGGCCGTGCCCAAACTCCGCACCATTACCAAAGCATCCTGCCCTTCGAGCGACGTATGTTGCTGTGACATGCTATTAGCTGCTATTACCTTGGTCCGCAACACCGCTCAACACTCGTGCTGGAGTCACACCTGGCCTGTGCATGTTCATCATCTCGTTTGTGGTCAGGTTCATCAAGACCTGAGTCTACAAAAGAGCTCGAACAGATTCCAGCAGCAAAGTCGCCACTACAACCGTAAACTTCACCCTTCCCAAACAGGCTTGCGTAGATGAAGGGTGCAGCTATACTCATACTTTCTAAGCGCATTAAGACCCAGAGGGCCTGTGACAAGTTCGTGGCTGACTCAACGTCTGTTCCAAGGACAGGACCAGCCGAGATTGATGCAGCGTAAGCATGAGGACCTCGGGAAGTCGACGAAATGAGCACGCTTCTTCCAAAGCTTTAAGGCCCTTTGAAGCCCTTTAAACCTTTAGCATCCCCCACACCTTCCTTCGGGTCAGCCCCTGCGTTGTCTGGTGGTTGCATGGTTTCGCTGAGCAAGTCTTGGGCAGGCGTAGAGGGGGCGGGGGTTACAAAATGGACATGGTGATTGAGAAGTCTGCTGACTCCCCCCGGCCACGCCCGATTGAACCCCGAAGTAGCCAGCAGGGTTCCCGAGCCCATGGAGCTGTGATACAGTGCACCACCACCTGCAAAAGGGCCAAGAGGGCTTTTGAAGGCTTGTTCTGGTGTCTTGCGGGTGTCCTTTTGCTGAGGTCACGGAGTTGTGGTGGGGAGGGAGGTGGGCAAGTTCACTGCTATGAGGTGCTGTGCACTGTTGCGGTAGACTACGGATCTTCATTGATCTTCAAAACATGCTGAGCTAGGCCTAAGGAGCTCAAAGGCAGGTGTTTCTACACATGTTTGCAGTTTGCAGAATTCTAAGAGAATCTCCCGACGTGGGTTCAGGCAACTTGCAAAGCACCCTACATGAAAGGGTTAGGCCCGGTTAGGCCCTCCAGCTCAGAACCTCGACCTTGACAATTCAGGGTTTCAAGGCTGAGGGCCCGGCGATCATGGTCAGCAGAGGGTAGCTGGTGATGACACCCCACCTTGACTGCACTTGGCGGCTCAGCTGGCAGCCTTTCAGGCACCCCATAAACCCTAGAAACTACCCTGAGAGCCTGAAGCCTGAACCAGGCCTCTCCCCTGGCTACCGCAAAGGCCCTAAACCCGCTGCTCCGAAGCCACCTCTGGGAGCCAGCAAAGAACAAGCTCACCAACCCTACGAGACAAATAAACAGCAAGCCCAGCCGCGTCCACTGCGTGAAGCTTTGGTATTGAACAATGTTCATCACCGTGAGCCTGGGAGAGAAAGACCCAGGCCCGACTTTGTTTTTGCAGGATATGTAAAGGCATGTAAGGTATCTTTCGCTGTAGGGTTTATAGGGATCATGAGTTCCGGGCATGGTATCAGGGGGAAGGGGCTGTGGATTTTGTAGGAGTGATGAAGCCTTCGGCAGCTAGTCGGGAGTCTTTGCGGGTGGCTGCTTGCTTCGACATGCTTAGACTTAATCATTAGGCGTGTGCGCAGTATGCTCAGCATCCAGAGGAAACTGTGACTGCAGTGGTTGCGCAAGTTCCATCACCGGCTAAGCACAAGCCTTGCAGCACTCTACACCTCAAATCACCTCAATGCCTGCCCAGCCGAAAACGGAGAGGCTTCTCGACCCTTACCCGGTGTCACCAAAAGACCTCGGAAGCTTGTGTTTGCGACACGTATTTTGTTGAAGGTATGTAGAAATTCTTCGTTGTTCGGCTACGGCTTACAGAGGCTGTGATCTGAGGTCTCCGCAGGCAGAGTCGAACGTGTGTCACCTGCCCCACCAGTTCGGGTGCCAAACGGAGAGGGAGGAAGGGGGAAGTGCAGCACAAGCGGGGAGTGTTGAGAGGAAGAGGAGGAGCAATCCTTCATCCTCACATGATCCTCTTCACGAAACCATTACGTTTGCAAAAATTGCCAATACCTTTGTGCATGTGCACAAAAACGGTCAATGCTCAGACAGAGAGCAATAAAGGCGAGTGCGCAGCTGGGAATGACGGTCCTTGCCTGCGTGATGAACTCCACAATGGCCAGGCCTGTGGCAATTGCTTTTGGCTATGGTCAGGATCACTTGCAGATGTAGAAACCATTCTTCACACCTTACACGAAGTCGAGCTCAAGCCGCTCCAGCTCCTGTTGCTGAGACCGCTGCCCACGAACTGTCGGTGGTTTGCTTTGCCTTCGGCGGCACACTGCTGAAGACAGGACATCGTGAAACTGGGGCAACTTCTACTTGGATTCCACTTCACGCTGCCATCTTCTTGACTTCCTCTCGACGATGGGCCTATCGTGTTGTTCAGCCAGACGCAGTAGTGATCAAACTCCTGCAGGCCCGCGCACATCGGAGACGTGGCAGAGTACCATGTGCTTGGACATGCGGTCACATCAGATGCAGACAAACATCACTTGCAGCATTGCTGCTCCGCAAATGCCTACAGCACACTACAGTGGTGTGCCTCGAGATGTGTTGAGTTGTGCGCTTTCAATCTCACCGAGCCGCAGCTAGACAGGTACCGTAGTAGAGCCAACCGCCCGATCCAACCGACATACAGTCAGTTCTTCCTGCCTCGACGCATGCCCCAGTTTGCACGCAGTATTTCGTGCGAAGCCTTGGCAAAAAAAAGAGTTGCAGTCCAGGCTTCGGCCCAACAGGACAGCATGCTTGATTCACTATGGAAACATTAGAAGGACATTCCCTGCGGACGGACCACTCTCATTCTGATTCTGCAGGTGCCCCGAAAACTCCTCTAAGTTCTTGGTTCCTTAAGCGCCGCGCCCCTTCATCACCCATGTCGTCGTGCAAAGTCGATTGACATCGGGCGGGTCGATATCCTTGGAGGGACTGCTGGTGGGTCGTAGACGCCCTCAGTCCAAGTGGCTCTCAACCTCAAAAAGGCCGCCTTAGACTTCCTTGTGGCAGCTCGCAACAGTCTACCCTCAACCCGACGCAGGAAAAGCCAGGGGACGGCGGCCGGGCTGTCAATGACCTTCATCAGCTCCTAGGGGGCCCAAGCTTCAGGGCTTCGGGCATCTTCCAGCAGCAACACAAACAAGCATCTTGCAGATTCCGCTTCAAAAAAAGCTCAAGTCATGTGTGTGTATATATATATAGAATTAGTGTAGCCCTTGTTCATCTGGAGCTGTCTGGGTGCTTGAAGATTGGAACCTTCATCCCCATCAGAAACCCAGCACTGGTGAGACCGAGAGCCCAGAGAACGCCCAACAAAAGCAGCCATGGATCCCGCACTGACCCTAACTTCGCCCTAAGACAAAGAACATCAAAGAACCCAAAGCCCTGAGCTTTGAATTCAGTCCTCCACTGCTGAATTTCCCTGAGGTCGAGCGGGAACCTGCAAGGAGGGGAGGTCGAGGATTCAGCGGGCTGCTGTTGCCGCGACAAAGTAAGACCAGACACGTCCAGCCCACAGAAGCATGACCCGAGGCCCCCAAACGCCTAAACGACCAGAGGTCCGCACCCTGGGCACCCAAAGCCCTCCAAAGGCGAAGCTCGCTAAAGCAGCATCCATAAAAACAAGCGCCCGCTTGTTGACCCTCAGCCTTCCCGGGATCTCCCAGGGCCACGAAGGTGAAAAAGCCCAGGGACCTGGGGTTCACTAGTAGAGCTTTTGGAGGCGTACGTATAAGTGCTGGCTTGAGGGGGCTTATAATACTCCTTTCCCTGAACGCTGGAACCACCGTAGTGCTGCCACATGGTGCCACACTGTTTAGGGGAAAAGTTCCGAACCCCCGTCCCGGGGCCTTTGCCCGTAGAGTAAACGGAATGTTCGTGAAGGAAGCCTCTGCCAACATCGGCCCGAGGTGCAAAGGCACCAGCAGCTCAAATAGCAAGGCTGTGGTGGGCGCCACCTGAAGAGGGATAAACGGGGCGAAGAGCTGAGTTTTTCATGGCTTCCAACATCCTCAGCCAGATGGAACGTGTTCTGCTGAATGCATTTGGGAGGGACCATCCAGAGAACTGGTACTCTGATTGGGACTTGATAACTTCTTCATTGCGTGTTGCTGTTGGGGCTTCGCCTGAGGCAAAGCCCGGGCGGCCTTACCTCCCACACCCATGCCAGTCAAGCCCGCACTTTTGAGCCACTTCCTCCTCTCGTGAGATCTATGGCAGCTGCAGCCAGGGTGCAAGCTCCTTAGGTAATAAAGGTCCTAGAAAAAGGCTTCCACCCTCAGCTCCCCAAGCTCCCAATGCCCCGTCCAGAAATGCCTCGTAGCCGACGACCCGGATGTCCATGATGTACTGGAACACCGCCAAAGAAACACAAACCTGCCCCAGGCCGGCTCACATGCTTCCACAAGCTGACCCCGCTGTAATAATGGACAGACCAGCATGCTTTACGCAATGGTGCTTGTACTCTCGGAATGAAGTTTGCAAGTTTAACGAAGTTTAAGCATCAGTAAAGAAGGGATCCTGCACGTCTTCCATGTTTATCAATCTCGTGCTAAGCCTTGCGGCAGCTAGCTTCCTGTTTCTCAATATATTCGATGCGTGCGTTTCGTTTGTAACCAACAGGCTTGCACATGTCCTTTGTCGGCGGGGCATTTGACAAAGGGCCCGAGTCAAGACAGCACCAGATGAAGCACGGAGGGATGGCCAGCCAGAAGACCGGAAAGATCTTGTGCGCGGCCTTGTCCTGCAAGGGTTGAACTCCTATCCCGGCCTGGGGCAACCCACGCTTTCCGGGACTGCAGACTGGAATCTGGAATGAAAGACACGAACCACAGCTCTACGATATTAAGCAAAAAATGGAGGAGTCATCTCATTCTACCACCAAAGCCAAAACCCAACACAAGATGATCCCACGCTGCGGCGCTCCTGCATCAGGCTTTTGAAGAAGCTGCCTTTGCCTTTGCCACTGCTTTCGGCCTGGCATCGCTTGGGGTCAGCGGAAGATGGCAAGCTTTGACAGCTTTTCCGGACATGAATTGCCTGTGCACGTCGAACCCAAAAGGTTCTTCGGGCGATCTTTGGGGTTCGCACAACGACGAGAGCGGACAACGGGATTCGTTTTGGCCATGTCGAAGCTTCCGGCCTTTGTGATACCTCCCGACTATGTTTGAAGACCTGCTAAAGAAGTTGACATGTTACACCACAAAGATAGACATCGTTTTGGCTTAAAACCATAGCTCCAGGTTTGTGTCAAAACAGCCAGAAATCATCCCATCTCAAGGCGCATATCAAACTCGCTAGGGTTTCGCCTGGTTCGAACATCAAGACACGGTCCAGATGAACGCATTTTCTGCTTCGAAAAGAAACGTGGACTCCCAAACGACATGTCTCCAAACTAGACATGCAGAAGGAGAGTCTACTACGACTACGACGGCGGGGGGGTGGTCATAGAATGCATGCAAAAGGGGGGGTGGTGGGGGGGCGGTGGATGGGACTATTTGGTTGTGCAGTACTACTGCCACCGCCACTGTTGCTGCTGCTAGTACTGCCAAGACGCCTGTACCTCTCTTCGTCTGGAAGGGCAAACCCCCAGCTACTGCGTCCACGATTACTACCACGTGCGAAGCACCATCTGCCAGACAGTCCTCATGCCAGCATTACATACAGGGCATGTCTCTGCCGCCGGTGCATGCAGGTGATGTGCCATAGTACGCCGCACTGCAAGAAAGCTAGGACTCTTTCATGTCTTGTTCAGCCACTTCAGCCTGTGTCGAAAGTCCTGCGTTCATGGCTCTGCAAGAGTCCGCAGCACGCTTTGCATGCAGGAGTCTGCAAGAGTCGAATCTAGGCTCTCCCGAGGTGGAGTCGTGACACATGCCCGAGGCTCATGCTTCTTCCCACCTAGTGAGTACTGGCGCTTTCCATCTGAATCTGGTGCCTGTGAGGGCTTCCCTGATCTTGGTTTTTCGATTTATCGGGTTTGGGGGAGTTGGTCTGCGTTGTACTCACAGTGGGCTGTACAAACGCGAACTTGCAACCCGTGCACACCTTCACAATACGTGTCGGTTGGAGCATGGTCGCCAACCGGCATGTCTCCAAAAGGGGGTTCACCCCTGATATGTACAAAGCAAACTCCGGAGGCCAGGAAGCCTCCTAGGGTGCAGTGACATTCAGCTTGTTAAGCTCGGCCAAGCACCTGCATTTTCTGTCTTGTGCTGAGGTGCAAGAACCTAGCTTGTGCTCGGGAAAAGTTAGTTCCGACATGTATCGAAACCGAGGCCATCAATCAGGTGTCGTAGCTGAGGCGGCCACTACATCGGCCCCTACAACTTGATTTCGCAAGCCAACAAACATGTGCTAGCTTGAAGGACAGCAGATCAGATCAGCAGATTGCAGTTGCTCGCATGTCATGCATGGTATAGGCAATCTCGATGCTTCCTCAGGCACTCGGCCGAGAGCCCTGGCCGCAGCTTTTCGCCAGGGCCTTCGGTGTCGCCTGGAGAGAGGCTCTGGGCGGCAGAGATCCTTGGCATTCAAGAAGAATGCTGGGAAGAACGCGCATGAGAATCGCAAAAAAGCACTAGCATTGATGCTTACAAATGACCGCCGCCACCACCACCAGCATCAGCATCACCAACGCCATCACCGTCGTCATCATCATCATCATCATCATCATCACGATCATATTCACGGGCATCGCGACCACCATCATCATCCTCATGAACATCCGAAACAACATCATTTTGCTGTCATCATCGTCGCCATCGTCGTCATCCTCCTGTCATCATCAGCAGCAAAACAACAGTGGCCAACAACAACAATAACACCAGCAATAGCACAACTGGTGAACAAGAACAGGCAAGGCGTCGTGAGGATACGAAGCCAGTGCAAAGAGTACCCTCAACGACTCAACCCCAAGCCCCAGGGCAGTGTACGTGCAAGCTGCGTTCCGAAAAACATAATGAAGATGCCGTACCTGCAGCTGTCGCAGAAGCTGTTGCTGCAGGGGTTCACTCCATCCTTCTCTATCGAATAACCCTCCTACAGACACAGCGCTCTGTCTCTTGGTCCGTTCTCTGCGTAGCTTTCTGTCGACCCACTGATGCACAGGCCCAAGGCCTATCGAGGAACGAGCTGCCTATCGATCTTCATGAACTTCCATCTCTCATCATCTCTATCTCTGTGTAGAAAGGCTCAAACCACTTCGCAGGAGAGTTGCACCAGGACCAGCCCATGTAGAACTTTCCTGCAAGGTCCGACCTGCATGTAGCGGACTAAGCAGGCAGGTTGGCCAAAACACGAAACATTTCCACCATTTAAAGTACAGTGCTGCCTCTATTGTTCTCAACTGTTTTGAGATATTACTGTAGTTTCTGCTATTTGCCAGCACCATCGGTTGACAACGTTGGCGGCCAGGCCTTCTTCACTTTGCAGTAGTGAAACGCCACGATTGGGAAAATCTTGGCTGACGGCACTCGCTTGCTGGCTGTTTCCTATAGTAGGCCCTGCGCTGACATCAAGACCCACTGGCATCACTCGGTACGCAATAGAGACATGCGCCCTCCAATGAAAACGCCAAGCAAACAACAATACGTCAACATATTTGCTTTCCTCCCATCTCAGATTCAGAAAGTGGATGGTTCTCCTACTTGTCACTGCAAGCTTCAAGCTGAGAAGAATCTTGGCAAGCCACGATGTTGTTGCAGACGCCTTGGACATTAGGCATCGGAGACATTTGAGGACAGAACGCCATCCGAACACTGATCTCGTTGTAGCATAGTCAAAGCTCACCAAAAAAAGACAGCCACAAAGGGCAAAGTGCCTGCAGCATTGGGCTGGCTCACACGCGTGAAATTAGTGACGCGCAGAGGCATCCAAGTACTGTACCATACTGTACTTTAAAAAGCCGATGGGGAACAAAGATGCACCGACTAATTCCGCAGCAAACCTCCAGGCACCAACCCATCCCCCAGTGACCCCCATACCCCCTCACTCAATCACTTTCAGCCACAGGGCAAAACATGGCAGACACCAGCGCGCTCATGGCCACCTGGGATTCCGATTCAGAACTTGGCATCTCCCGTGAAAGAGTGGACTTGCAAGTGCCGGGAAGAATGAACAAGACGCCTGTGGAGTATGTGGGAGCCTCTTGGGCTCTGGAAATCTGCTTCTCACCGAGGCTGTTTCCTCTGGGCACTCCAGCACTCGAGCCATACAGAACTTCCTCGTGCCCAAGGCGTTTCAGGGATTCCCACTCTTCGCGCCGGAGGGCGAAGGACTCGATGCCAGTGGCCACGACGAATCTCAAGACCACGACACCGATCCGCATGACCTGCGGAAGACGACTGTGCAAAGTTCATAAGGGTCTTGAGTTGAGGCTTCAACCCCAAAAAACCTACGAGTAGAAACCCTGAAGCTTGAAACTGTCGCCCACCACCCAGTAGTTAGTTCCTGATTTCCGAAATTCCAAAGTCTCAAACCCCACACCCAAACCCTTCAGCTCGATCCCAAATATGAAACAACCAACCAAGACTCGAAATCCCGGTGTCCAGAAGCATTCCTCCGGCCTTCTTGGCCCAACGCGGGCCGCGACGGAAGACGCCTCTCAAAGGGTCTCTGGTTGGGATGCTCAGTGCGGCCTAGAAGGGCCCTGGTATTCGAGAGGCCTCAAACTTCACAAAGCAGCAAAAACCTGAATTGCCCCAATCTCCAAAGGCCCCAAAGTGGTGGCCTGGGAAGGAAGCCTCCACTGCGAGCCTCGGGACGTCGGATTAGTGGCCGAAGGTTGAAGATGTTTGAAGTCTTTGGGAAGGCGTAGCTTCGGGTCTGTACGATGCTGGGCCAGAAGGCTTCGGATTTCCGTGGGGTGCTCGCCTAGAGCGGGTTTTCAGCAGCCTCCTGAAGCCCCGAGTTCTAGCCCAAGAGCCGCAACTCCCACAAGGGAAAGAATCTTGAGCAGCCGGCACTGTACAGGGAATCCAAATGGCTTCCGTCATCAGGAGGTTGACGGTCCTGGGTTCGGATTGCACACCATCAGTCAGTGCTTGATGCGCTTCTCATGGACGCTCCCAGGGACCCCCCGGCGAGCCGGCAAGAGTTTAGCGTTTCATGACGCCGTTTCGAAGCTTCGCGCACTTTGCTTCGTGCACTTTGCAGTTTGTCAGGTCGCGACACCCTTGTTGTGCCAACGTTCAGAGAATGTGTGCGGTGGTGGCTGTCTGGACTGGGCGAGCATGTCAACTGGAGGCAGCTATGACTCTCCGTCCCTGGAGGCTGATTGAAAGACTCTGGAAGACGAAGAGCATTAAGTTAAGTTGGCATGAAGTCACTAAGAAGAGTGGCTTCCCGAAACGTTCACAAGGGCATCTCAAACTGCGCGCCGGGGCTCACAATCAAGTCCAAACCCGCGCCGGCCACCTTGGTCGAATGATCCGATAGTGAAGCTCTAAAAGTCTAAGCGCTGGGTTCAGGGGTTGGTGCTTTGGGGAGCGGGGTGAGGTTCTCAACGACTCAGACGCGCGGCCTCTATAAGTCCACGCCCTGCTACAATAATCTTTCCAACCCTGATAGTAAGAGTCAAAACCTGCTTAGACCGCCTTCCGAACTTGGTTAGACATGTTCGTCACTGTTGGTCATCAAAACCTGAATCCCATATTGATTCCTTTTTGAGGACAGGGCCGTCAAACTCCCAAGCTCCCAGGGCCGGTCAAGCGCCCACCAGCCACGCGGCCGGTCCTAGCGCTTGAGAGGTTCTTTTGGGCTCTTGGCCCGTGGGGTGTTCAGATTAGGGATTCGCGCCGTTTAGGGTACCTTGAGGCTTTCGGAGTTTTCGGCTCAAGGCTTTCTGCAGGTAGGATTCCTCGCGCATGCCGTCAACCAGGTTTTCCGGGACCTGGGCATCAAAAGGATGTTCCACCAAAAGCAGACTAGTAATTCAGGGAGTCCTCTTTGCTCGACTCTGGCTTGCTACTTGGCATGGCAGTCCTGTGGGCATCGGTGACATCGGATGGTGTGTATGCTGGGATGCACAGGTAAGAGCTTCAAAGCTGGGCCATGTGCACAACGACATGCCCATCGAAACCAGAGTGACCCATTCTGATCTCTTTATATCCTCAGGTCGATGAAACCCTCAATCCCACTCATGCATCTCACACTTCGGACAGGTCTGATGGCCCTGCCCGGCACGATCGCTGAGGTCCTGGCATCATTGCCGAAGCCAGCGTAGCCTGTCGTCTCTGCAAGAGCATCTGGCAGAACTCGTCTTTGGTGCCACTATTCTACATTTGGGCTGTGGGTCTTTGCATCATTCCTCTCTGAGCGCTGCGTTCGGTTCACACGGAAGTGCAAACAATAGGCTGGTCTGAAGCCATGTGCTGCCACGCAACCCAAGATCATGATGGGCAGGAACATTGCCAACGCCTGAATTATATGTGAGCTGACAGCGGGTCGGTCATAGAAATCATGAAGCTGCACCGCTGCACTTGCCGGAAAGCTCTGCAAACTGCGGCATCGTCTTCCACCCGGAACATCCCGTCACAACACCCAACACTCCGCTATCTTCCCAGAAAGGGACACTTTCTGCCTACTACCATACTGATGCAATCAGCTTCCCTCTGAAAATGCTGGTAGCAAGAGCTGGCTGCTGCCCAGGAACAAGGAAGTACGCCTTGGCCGCATTCCAAAGCGACAGGTAACAGGGCAGATGGTGAACAAATCAACTTGCTTCGCTTCGATCCCCACCCTCGAAGCAGCCCTGGCCCTCTGACAATTTGGCAGCATAAATGGCTCGGGTCCGGAAACCGGAGACGGGTCCGCTCTGGACCCGGAGCTTGGGGACTAGAGAGGGCCAGCGCTGTTGGGTTCGGATATCGGGAGCACGAGTTCAAGTCTGCAGAGAGCCAGGGCAAAAGAGCTTTGAGGGGCCAGCAAGAGCTCGGATCCGGAGAGGAGCTGGAAAAGTCAGGTTCAGGTGCGGCGCAGGCCAATCTATGGGGAACAGCTGCAAGGGCCTTGTAACATTGTAAGAAACACGACAAACAACAGAAACAACCGCTCACTAAACTTTAGCAGCATACAACAGTGTATCCGAGGCACGAAGATGGCTGCGGGAGCCGTCCTCGGACAAAGTCGAGGTCCGGGCTCGAGGCTGGGGTTGATACGGGTTACCTAAGCCCACGACTTACTGCAACTGTTTTGGGAATTTGAGCGTTCGGTTCAGGGTGCCTGGTACGAAGCTTGGCGATGAAACAGGAAACGGCCAACACACATCCAAGCTGAGTTATGCTAGAGCCAACATTGTCCCTCAACCTGGCCGTTGTCTTGATGAAGAGCCGCATGGGCAAACCCCACTTTGTAGGGACTTTGGGGGGGGGGGGGGGGGAGAGCCAGAGGGGAGGGGAGGGGGGGGAGGGGGGGGGAGGGGGCGGGAGGGGGGAGGGGGGGGGGGAGGGGGGGGAGGCGGGGGGAGGGGGGGGGGGGGGAGGGGGGGGGGGTGGGGGGGAGGGAGGGGGAGGGGGGGAGGGAGGGGGAAGGGGGGGGAGGGGGGGGAGGGGGGGGGAGGGGGGGAGGGGGGGGAGGGGGGGGAGGGCGTAGGACGACCAAACACGCGCTGCTCTTGAGCTCAAGCCCAGCGACTTCTTGGGGTCTTTCATCTGATGCCGCAGGGTCGGCACCGTGACTATCACCGCAAAGTTGTAGAAGCCTCTGCCGAAACGGGGCAAGGGTTCCTACGGCGGGCATGTCATTGCCGTATGTTTTCAACTAAACAGGAATACCTATAACCCTCCTGCACCGCACCGCAACCTTTCGTGTTCTTCTTATGTAGTTTCCTTCTTCCTTGCCTCATTGCTCCAATGATTCATGGAAAGTTGCGCAGGTTGTGTAGGATTTGGCCAGGCAGAGAATTCACAAACAGGCGAATTAGAATGTCGGACGTCTCGCTCGGGACCGGTTCCTCTCGGACCAACCTTGCGGATTCACCGGGACCTTTGGGAGCCCCTACAGACCCCTTTACGGCATGCCTTACCCGAGCAAAGCGTTCTTGAAGGGCTCTCGCCCTCCCTCCATCCGAAGACATCCGAACACATGTGTAAATCACAGTTCTTGTGCATTCCACTGATTCTCATAATGTGCCCTTTCTAATTGGTTCAACAGTCCTCCCCCCTCTCCCCAAATACATGATATGTCGTCCTTCCCACAGAAAACAATACGATGATTCCGGCAGGGACTCGCTCCAAGACCTCCACCGGAGGCGCCCAAAAAAGGCGCCAGAAGCCGAAGGCTTGAGAATGGCATTATAAGAGTGCTGTAACAATGAAGCCTTCCGGAGGGTTCTGACTGGAAGTTTGCGTTCACCGTCACCCCTCCAAGGGGGCTGTCGCCCGCAACCCCTCTTCCAAGAAAACACCATGGAACCTCGCACCCTGCACCCACCTAAGTCCTTGCTGCGGGCGACAGGCCCGTCAGATTTCGTTCGGAAAAATGCCCGCAAGTGCCCACGAACTGCATCCCGGCAGGCGACCCATTTTGCAGCTGCGTCCATTTGCCTCTTTGTCAAACCTCTAGCTTGAGCTGTACTGTACAGGGCCTCTTATGGTCCTTTCAGTCCTGGCAGTGCTTCACATGAGCAGTGCTTGAGCACTCATTATCGGCAGCTTGCTGCAGCAAGCGTGCGAGCTCTTCGTAGCGTTTATCCACCGCCTTCATCAGCGGTGTGTCGCCGAGCACAGTATCTGCCACGTTCGCGTCGGCTCGCGCTTCCAAAAGCAAGCGCACCACCTCCACATGACCTTTGCTGGCAGCCACCCATATGGGTGACTGCCCGAAAGTATTTCTGCAGTCCTTGTCAGCACCCTCCTCCAGAAGTAAGCGCACGACGTCCGCATGGCCACCCTCAGAAGCCACCCAGACAGACGATTTGCCACGAGCGAAATCAGAGAAGCCCTCCAGCATTTTGCTCGCAAGCCTTTTGTTGTGAATCTGAGCTATCCTGAGCTGTTCAGTCCGTATGCAAACGCAGGCTGCTGAAAGAGCATGTGCACCTACAACCGTGACCACCAAAGCCGCAACCGAAACCGAAAGTCACCACTGAAGTACCCAACTGTAACTACTGCCAAGTATCTGAGATGCCATCGAGGCAGCCTCTTCGCGACGGTTGGAGGTAGGATCGCACCAGTTCTTGTCAGCACCGGCCTCCAGCAACAACCGCACAACTTCTACATGACCTTTGTGAGAGGCCACAATGATAGGTGTGACGAAGAGGCCGTCGTCGTTGAAACCCCTGCAGTTTGGGTCGATGGGGAACTGCAACAACTCCTGCACTTTCGAGACGAGTCCTTTTGCACAAGCCTCGGTGAGCGCCCTCGCTCCCTCTCCAGAAACAGCAAAAGGAAGCAGAAGCAAGTGCACAGCTCTGGCCGTATCCAGTATGACATGATCCTCCAAGCAAGTGCCATCTTGCTCAATCAGCCTCTGCCTAAAGCGCGGGACCCCACAGAGCTTTTGCAAGTCCTTTTTCAGCATCTCTACATTGGTCAACTGCTCAACGGGAATGGCGGCCAGCTCTTTCCCGGATGCCATCAGCACGCTGAGCATGTCTGCTTGCATTTGAATTCAAAGGATGGAACCTTCATGATACAGGAGCGATGAGTCGACTGTGTGCCTATCCAAGCCGGCTCCTGGCTTTGCATGTTGCATGTGCAGTCGTGCATTTTGCAGTGTCCTGTGTACCGGCTTTCTTTCAGTCAAGATGAATGTCGAGGAGCCTTAAACTGACGAAAAGGGTTTTCTGTACTAGCTGTAGGAAAGTGCAGGTATACCTGCATCACTGACACTCTCTGTCTCACCTTCTTCTTAAGGCTGGAATGCCTCCTCTTCTGAATATGACGTCCCCTTTTTCTCCAGGAACATTTGACAAGCTTTCCAAAGTCATTCAAAGAGCCAAAAAATCCCTCAACCAAACAGCAAGTTGAGGCCGATTTGAGGCTGGGACCATAGGAACCCACCTGTGCTAAGGGTAGCAGCATACTCACCTCAGGCGGCTCTGTTGTTGGGAGGAGAGGTGGGTGAGCATTTGCTGTGGGATATCTGGTGATGTCTAGGGTTTGGGGTCTGTCTGTGGGTTGTTGTCAAAATGCTTGCTCCCGAAATTGACGCTAAATCGGAACTCCCTCGGTGCCGCCTTATGTCCTGAAGGAAAAAGAAGCTGATTGAGATGGAGTAGCAAACGCGACATTTGAAGGATCCAAGCATGATTTCCTAGAAAGGGCGCTAGCGCGGACCATTTTTCAGGCGCTGCTGTCGGACGAGTCGTCACAAGAACTGCTAGTGTTACTGCTACATACTGCTACTGCTGGAGATCTGGCGCGAGCGAAGATTTCTCCGCTGTCGCCACTTGCGGGGCTCGAGCTCCAGCAAGCATAGCACTCTCGGTTCTATGGTGTTCCTTTGTGGTCTGCTAGAGGAGGAATGGGCCATGGTCTGCCGGGGGAGGTTGCGTTGACATTTTGCTAGCGCCGTGCTAGCGCGGCGCTAGCGCAAAACACTGTGCCGGATTTCCCAAGATCTGATACTACGATGTGATGAACGACGAAAACAAGCCAGGAGCAGCAAATGTACCAAGTATAACAAGAATATCGTTTCTTTTTTGTCATCGTTTTCCTAGAAGAACCTCTATCCTGGCAAAAGGGGCCCCGTCAATTCATAACGAAGAGGTGCGGGGTCATTACACCACCCCGGATGTTGTACGCACATTTCGGGTGGTGCGCCTGGCTGGACCTTCTCAATCAATCTCTGTTGGGTTCGCTTAGTGGTGAAATGCGAAATTTGAAATAATGTTTGTTGATTTTACCTAGCGCGAACCTAGCGTTTTCCTAGCGCCACACTGGGGTTTTAGGGGATCCCCCTCGGTGCCGCCTTATCGAAAAGACATGAAAATAGACCAGCCAAACCAATTAATGTAAATTAAAGTAACTGAGCAGACACGCGAATTTTGAACGCAACCCCTGTAGCCTTGCGGGACTGTAGAGGGTGAAGGAATTGGAAGGGCCACGCCACGGCATCAACCACCGCAATTGCAATACACTGTTCCCGACACACCCCGACACACCCGTCGGCCAGGTGGCACTGAACAGTTCAGCCAAAGGCGGAAGAACCACGTGACTGCTCCTGCTTTCTACCGAAACGGCACGTGCTTGGGGATGCCTGGGTTCTGTTGAGTTGAGCTCGCGTTTATCGGGCATAACTACAACTTTAATGGCCGTTGGCCTCAGGATCCGGACTTGTTTGGTATGGCTGCGGCAGGCTAAGGGGGCCTCTACACGAAACCCGAGACCTCAGGCCTGCAGGGTGCTGGGATCGATCCGGCCACGGCGATGGAGCCGCCAGAGCCAAGCCAGGCCAGCGCAACCTCGACCCGGGTGCTCCGATTCCACAGGAAGGGAAGGGGTTAAAGGGCAGCTACCTGGGGCGTACATGCTGGGATTCGGAGTTGGTCCAGGGTGTACACTGGACCGGAACAGCTCTACGCCCAGTCCGTCAGCCTCGGTCAGAGGTGATACAATGCGATATGCCCAATGCTCAATGCCCCATGCCCACTGTGCGTGTACAGCGGCCGTCAGGATGCAAACGATGGGACCCAAGAAGGCCGCGCGCTTCATCAGGGCCCCTGCGGGGGTGTCCACTGGGTCGGGTCTTCGTGTCTTGCCAGTGTTAGGCTTTGACCACAGGATCGCACGTCTGCAAGAATGAATGCTTGTCTTTGCCCCCCACACAGAGCCCTGATGCTTCTTGGAAACATGTTACACGATTGCAGACTGGCTGCGATACGAACTAGCTTTCACCCGATGCTGCTTGTCAGCTTGGTATTTTCAGAATCAAGATTTCGTTTGTTGGCGACCGTCTAACTAAGCTGGAACCAAAGTCCAGTATATGCTAGACAACGGACCATGTATTTTGGTGGTCTGGCCGGCTTTTTGTAGAGAATTTGAACATACTGAAGAAAATCTAGCTTCGGCTTACGTGCAAGAAGCGGAATCCATCATTGTGGGGATCGAAACCAACAACAAAAAAGCCTGGGTTAAAAGGTAAATATCTCCGTGTTCAGTGGAGGCAAGTCGGAATCGAGCCCGAGCTACAGCTCGACTTCAAGCCAATGGAACCGCTGATCAATGCTTGCGCAAGTAGATCCCAAATGGCAGTTCAAGCCAAAACGTCTTCGAGCATCAGCCTATTTCCTATTGAAACTACTGCAGGTCCATTAGAGTTAGGGTCAGCAATACTCCGGAGTTCATTGCCAGCGCGTTAAAGTTCACTTCGGATATATAAAGTCGAGCACCCATTTTCCAATAACAAGAAAAGCAAGCTGACGAAATGACTTGTAAATTTCAAGCAAGGTCTGGAAGTAAATGAACGCTGCCTTTCTAAGATGTTTTAAAACCGTCCGAAGGTTTCAATCCTGGCACGTAGCCTTGCGCAGGATGCTACTTTGTTCGCCACACTCCATGTGTCGGCTTTTACGACGGGAAATTGCCGCGCAAGAGATAGATTGCGAAATCCTTCCAAACACGGAGACGTCAGCGCGTCGCAGACCACTCCGACGACTCTTTCAAAACTATGCCTCCACCAAACCCGTCCAAAAGCTTTGCTCTCCAAACACCAGTCTGCCCCCCAAGGCTCTCTGCCGGTCTGTGCCGTCCCAGTCGAAGCGCACCTGGGTTTCCGAAGACATATGCCAGGGTGATGGGCGTCAGCAGCAAAGCCCACCATTTGTGGCCGCAGCTCTCGCAGCCCAACCTTGCTGGAGGATTTGGGTGTAAGGCTTTGAGTCTAAGAGAACGTCAGAGGTGTGGCGAAGAGAACCCCACTAACGAAGTAGCAAGTCGATCCGGAAATGACTGAGCAATGCTGCTTAATTTCTAGGTGGTCTCCAGGCAAGCGCTGTAAACTGCAGCAATTTTGTACACACTCGCATTTTGCGGTGTTCACCGGGCAAGCACTGCAAACTGCAGCAATTGCGTACGCAGTCGCCCTTTGCTTTGTTCAGAAGTCGGAAAGACTGCAAACAGTAAACACTAGCATGTTGATTCTCTCGAGATACTTCGGAAGACCACCTTGAGAAATCACGCAGCACGAAGCTTTGCCCAATTGTAGCAAATCGATCTCGGAACGTTGCAGATGATTCCGCGCTGAGCTATTCGAAAGATCGACATGCTGAAAGCTATGTTGCGTTGATGTTTTCCGAAAGCACTCTGAGCATTTCAGAAGCTCGAGGTATTGAAGTACGATCAAACCATCTTAAGCTTCCGAGCTACTCAATAGCATGGCATGTGCAGAAATATCCTCCTCACAGCGGCCCTTACGGATAGCTCTGGCCAAAACATGTTTTTTTGGGATAAAGCGCGTTTGCTCATGGACATCAACACCCTGCTCCGTGGGTGCCCACCTTCCCCTTCGACGTGTTTAAAGGTTTGTGTGTCACAGCTACTCGGCTTTCTCCCAGAATCTAAGAACTCTAAGGGCCGGACCAAGGCCAGGAGATGGGGAAGAGGAAGTTGAAGTTTTGGGCCTCGAGCACCAAGGTGGTGCACATCCTTGGCTTTCACACCAGACTTCTAAGAACCGAAACCCCAGAACCCTGCAACCTGACAAGAACCTGTTGCCCTCAGCTACCGCTTTTCCAGAGAGACCTCCGCCACGCGAGCCAAAAGTCCTCAGCCCTAGGCCCTAGATCTTAAAGCTTCTGAGTCCCCGCACAAGCGCCCAGAGCCACAGCCCCCAATTCAGGCAGGGCTCATCCCCATCAACGCAAGCCTCCCAGGCTGGAGATGCTTCAGTGATTCAGGTGGCAGGCCCGAACCCAAAGCCCCTGATAAAAATAAAAAAAAAAAAAACAAGAAGAAAAAAAAAACGAAGACCCCCGAGCCCGAAAAGCTTGAAGGATATAAGGGCCAGTTTGGGACTTAAAAGCGTCGGGCACTCCAGTCTCTCGCGTATGGGGCACAACGTGGAGCTTGTTTTTGAGATGATCTTTCAGCCTTCAAAAAGGCTTCGGCCAGGGTAAGGGTGCGCAGGCCTTCTTTGGGGGCTTCGCTCGGGCTGTTGGAGTCGAGCGTGCTTGATGCTCGAGGGTTTGGGGCAACAAAGGGGTTTGAGGCTGAGAAGTCGTCGACAAAGTAGGGCTATTGAGATGCCCCAGGCTTCTCACCACCATGACCTTTAAGGAACCGGAGACGCATTCAACACTCCCAGCAGCTACATTCGTACTTCAAGGGGATGAAGTCGACTCTCTCCTGTGCAGTGTGTCCAGCTAGGACAGCTAGGAGTCCACAGACACACTGTCTGAAGAACAACGGGGTGATCTCCCCGGCTGCCACAGACTGTGGGACTAGCTGTCACCAAGTGGCATACTTGTCACGGATGAGATGCGCTTGCCCCAGATGCCAAAGGCAGCCTTCGCAAAGTCTGGATACCTGACGTGGGCCAGCGTGCTAGTACAAAGTTCTTTAGATTGAGCAGGGCCCCTTGGTCAGTCAGATGCAGGAGAAGATGCAAGAGAAGATGGTACCTGCTCATGTCAGGCAGTTTGGGAGTTGGATTATGGAAGGTGC